TCATGCAATTTCTCCTTGTTCTCATTACCTTTTTAAAAAATCTATGTACTTTATCAAAGTTTGAAAGATATCAGTTGTGCAAAACAGGTACTTTTTTTTCAGGCCACCTATTTCTAATGGCTTAGTGTAGATAAGGAAGTGTGAGAGCCAGAAATACAAGTTTGTAGCTAAAGTATGGGACTGTTCATTGCCAGATCTAGGAACTGTATCATGTACCAGGATGTTTCTTACTGAAAATACTGCCCAAAAGTGAACTCAAACTGACTAAAACAACATATGAGCTTACATAATTGAGAAGTTCAGAGAAAAGGCAGCCTTTAAGTGCTTCAGTGAGGCCTCAGTCATTTTCTCAGCCCAGTTGTTCTCTCCCCATCAGTTTCATCCTCAGGCTGGTTTTCCTCAGAGTAACAATATGGATGAGGCAGCCGAAGGTGTGACCTCTGCACTTCATGCTATCCAAAAGAGGAGAGGGTCTGTGTCCCAAAGCTCTCTGCAAAAGTCCCAGAATTCCACACAGTAGCACTGTCTTAGGCATTAGCCTGGGGTTAGTATATACTCACCAACTTAGTCCAGTTTCATGCTCCATTTACAAGAATAGTGTAGTGTTTTCCAGAATCTCATGGACCTCTTATGGAAGGTTCATAGGACAATGAGGAAGAACAAGAGGGGAAACTCAATACTAGGTAGAGTGGAAGCAAATACCCTGTCTGTTGATGCCCAGCCTCACACTGGCACTTTTATATTCTGCTTGATATCTAAGGGGGCTGGAAAAAATAATTTTCCAGAATCCACTGACTGTTAGTTTCCTGGGTAATTGTACCAATGGAAGGCACTCAAATGCAAATAGGAGATGGAAGGGAGGTGATTCTGTCCTTGTTCCTGTCTCAGCAGTGGCAGGGGTAGGTAGGTAAGTCCTGGTGGTGATGAGTTCCTGGATCCCTGCAGCCTCGGTGAGCTTATGAGCTCCTGGCTTGCTATTGCAGCACTTCAGACAGACGTGCCCCAGCAGACTTGGGGAACATGTGAGTAGGTCTTGGGAACACCAGGAAGCCCTTTACTCCTTCGACCTTAGGAGAGCTAGCAACTTTCTAGTTACTGATTTCATTGTATCCTTATCTTCCTTCTTTCGCTCCTCCAGTTTTCTAAAACTTGCAACCAATTCACTGCATTATGTTCCCTTCCTTTGAAATATGTAATGTGGTTTCTATTTTACAAACAAGACCCTGACTGATATAGTGCTATGAAAAATATTTCAAGGTTCTAGGTTATAATTTTATTAAACTGATAATTGATATAATTCCATAAACAAACAAAATCCCAAATATGCATGATTATAAAACCATTTAACATTGATTTCCTAAACCCTAGCCATTCTGAGGAATATATGATATTGCAAAATATATTTGCTGCCTATATGACTATAAACTATTTCCTCTTATAGGGCATATTGTTTAAGTTTCAGTTTTATTAAAATAATCATCTAGCTTTAAAATAATAAGTGATTCTGTCAAAAAATAAGAGCACTTACTATTTTTTAATATTATCTTCAATGAGTGGTCATGTCATCCAATGAAACAAGCATGGACTTTGGAGATAATAGCTAATATTGTCAATATAAGACATCTAAAAATGAATACATACATCATGTGTACATACAACCAGAGTTAGGAAAGCCATGCCTCACTTTACAATCAAACTGTAAAATTGTGACTCAATGGCTATTTTGTGTTGTGTTATTTCCCAGGAATACAATTGTCATAATTCAGTTGTAACTTCTGGGGCTGCAGGAGGAACACGGAGAACTAGTCAAAGAGCAAGCACTGATTATCACATTAGGTAAAAGAAAAACACAAGTAAAACTGTCTACTATACTATTACTTACAAAGGAATTTCTACTGGGAGAGTATATATTATTTGATTACTGTAAGTAGGAACAACATCAAATGGTAGGACAGAGACCAAGCTATGTATCAGCTCTTGGAGCAAAATCTCCAATTGAGATGGAAAAGTTTGTGTTCCAAAACTTCCCCTTGGCTTTATTTGTATTCATCTGCTAGCTATAATGCTGCGTTTCTGAATCTGGTTTGTCCTGTTTCCAGACATATGAAAGTTGCGTCCACAGATGATTGCTGGCATGTAGGAAGAAATCTAGCTTAGAGTGGGGACATGAAATTGCCCGAGACCAGTGTTCTCAAACTTTTTGGTCTTAGGATCCGTTTATACTCTTAAAAATTATAGAAGACTCAAAATTAGCTGTTGTTTATATGTGTTCCTTAGAAACTAAAATTGACAACTGTTTAAAATATTTATTGATTCATTTAAAAACAATAACCCTCTTAAGTATAAACATAGCACATAAATATTTTCTGAAAAAACAAAAAACAAAAACCCTCTATTTTCCCAGAAAAGGCTTAGGGCATTATCTTATGTTTTGCAAATCTCTTTTAGCCTGGCTTAATTGTTATAGTCAAATTCTAATATTTCCTTCTACATTTAATCTGTTGCTACATCACATATTATGTAACCTCTGGAAAACTTCACTGTACAAGGGGCCAGGGGTATGGGTTGGGGGGCGACTGAGTGAACCAGGCAGCTAGAGTCTTAGTATTATTATCAAAATAATTTTCACCTCTGGAACCCTCTGAGATCTCAAGGGGCCCCAGGGAATACTAGAAAACACTTTAAAAACCACTACCTTAGACTAGTTACATCAATGGTTTTCAACAAATTTTTCATTGTCACACATAATTTTCCCATGTGTGTTTTCATGGATGTCTTTAGATATTAACTAAACAAAATGAGTATTTTTATTATTAAACAAAGCAAATAACATCAAACAACTTTGAGTATTGGGGCAATACTATGGGATGCCTATGGGGTGCCTGGTATTCATAAAAGTATTTTCTGCACTCGTGGGAAACAGATAATGCATTAGGAATAATGAGCACTTCCTAACAGTCTGTTGCAACTCCTTTATCTCTGATTCAATGAAGCAAAATAGAATGCTAGTGACAGTAATATCATTACAGAGATACCCTGTATCTGTTAGGCTCTGATTTATTTCTTTAAATCACTTGAAAGTTTGGGTATTTTAACAAATACTGGAAACCAGTCACTTTCAAAACATTTCTGACCTCGGTAAGAGGTGCTGTACTGTATTATTCATAGATAGAAACCCACCACTATCTTTCAGGTGGCTGGTGGAAACTGGGTGAATAGTATTGTACACATCCAATTCTCTTTATATGCAATTGCTGACAAATAACAAGTTTGTATTCATTTATATATTATTTGAGATATAAATCTGTATGCACATATTCATTCCTTCAACATATATTTAGAGAGAGTTTCTCTAATGTGTCAGGCTCTATTTTTGGCAGTTAGGATACAAAAGAAAACACAAATTCCTGCCCTGGAGAAATTTATGTTCTAGTGTGCAAAGACACACAATAAAGATGAGTAAGCCAACTAAATCAGACTTTAAGTATTAGAAGGAAAAAAGTAAAGGAGGAGAATAAGAAATACTGGGAATAGGGGGTGCCATGATTTAAAATAGGACAAATAAGAGAGAGGCAAACCATAAGAGACTCTTAAATACAGACAACAAACTAAGGGTTGAGGGGGGTAGAGGCTGGGTTAAATGGGTGATGGGCATTAAGGAGGGCACTTGTTGGGATGAGCACTGGGTGTTATACCTAAGTGACGAATCACTGGGTTCTACTCCTGAAGCCAAGACTACAATGTACGTTAACTATTTTGAGAAAAAAATAAAATAAAATAGGATGGCAAGTAGAGGAGTGACTGAAAGGATGGCTTTGGGGAACAGAGAGAGGAAGGAGCACAAACGGGGGAGGGCTAGAGAGAGAGGGAGACACAGAATCCGAAGCAGGCTCCAGGCTCTGAGCTGTCAGCACAGAGCCCGACGCGGGGCTCGAACTCACGGACCGCGAGACCATGACCGAAGTCGGCCGCTTAACCGACTGAGCCACCCAGGCGCCCCTAGTTTTAGATTCTTACGCTGCTTAATCTCTCCCTCCAGCTCCCCTATGCTCTAATCTAAGAAAAGTGGGTCCAAAAGGAAATTAAGATCTATTTTTTTCTGATTAAATTGCTCAACCCTTCAGATGGTGAATAAAATAGAACATCTTAGAAGGCCCTTTTTGTTGTTGTTATTGTTAAGAGAGCAAGTAGTACTTTGCCAAATACTCTGTACCCCCAAATCCAGCTAGGCGCTCAACCGCTTTTTCTGGATCTTGCAGCGGGGTTTCAGAAAAGCACCACCTGCTGGTCCTACATGCGTCTTACTTCCTCGGCGCCAAACTCGTGGGCCTGCATTCTTTCACTCTTCAGCACCTAATTACAAGTAAAGTACAATACAAAGCAGTTAGAACGGCCAGGGCAGTGAAACTACAGGTCTCCAAAGGCAAGAAAAAGCAGGTATCTAACAGCTCGCTCCACGGTTGGGTCGTGGGGAAACAGGACGCAGAGGGGGTTGACACAGGATCCCCGGTACAAGGCGCTACTTCCGCCCCGCGCGGCCCCGCCCCCGCGACGCGACGGGAGGTCACGTGACAGCCGCGCGCGTTCCCGGCCGCTGCGGGCTCCGAGGCCGAAGAGAAAAGACTGCGAGACGGCCGCGGTTGTGGCTAGAGAGGTGGGAGTCGGGGTGAAGTCCTGGCGGGGAAGGGTGAAAGTCAGCCATTCCGGGATCCTAACCCGAGGAAAGGCATAAAGGCTTGCGGCGTCACCTCCAGCCGCGACGCTGTCCGGGTCGGCCCTTCGCTCCGGGCCTGAGAGGGGCGGCGGCGGCGGGGTCAGGGGCCGGTACGTAGGTGGACGCCCTTGGGCCAGCGCGGCCGCGGGTCTCTGCACCCAGGCGGGATGGAGCAGTTCAGCCTTTCCCGCCGCCCCCACCTTGGCTGCTGTCACAGGCAAGAAGACTGTGACGGGCGCTGCGTAGTCCGCGGCCGTCGCAGCCCCTGCCCAGGGCGACGGCCCAGAGCTGGTCACGGTCCGGGTGCGAGAGGCGGAGCAGCGGCCATTACTGCGCAGCCTCTTCCGCCGGGGTCCTCTTCTCCGCCTTTGGTGGCAGCCAGGTTTCTCTTCTCTCCCCTTGGCGGTGGTGTCAGGCCTCTACGGGGGGACCTTTTGGCCTCAAGATTTAGGGGCGGCGATGGTTTGAAGGGTTTCCTGCTCCCTGCTTCCCGTGTGGAGGCCTCTACCCTGGCCCTGGGTCAGATCGCAGCCAGGGCGTAGAGTCCCTGCATTTTGTCTTTTTCCGGAGTGTGTTTTGCGGCTTCCTTCTCTTCCCTCTCTCCTCCTCCTGCTCAGTGTCTGGGTCTTGCCTAATAAGAAGAGCATTCCCTCCACCTTGCCTTGGTTAAACCCAGCGCTGCATAGTTTTCGTTGTTTTGATGGTTATTAAAGCATCAGAACAATGAAGAGATCTCTTGATACCCGTGAAGCCAAAACAATAACAACAACAACAACAGAAAACCTCAGGGCATCTTAAAAGCAGAGGCTGTTGGCTTTGTTCTGGTTGGTGGGTGCGAGTTCTCTCTCTATCCCCCAACCCGTCTAAGAGTAGGGGTCTTCCATTGTTGTCGCTATTTTATTTGCCGTAGGCGTCTAGAGAAGGTTGCAAAATTGTTTTCAGTTTACACATACATTTTGGCAACTAAAGCTTTCTCTTGTTAACCATTTCGTATATGTTTTTTTTTTTCCCTTCCCTGCGTGCCATTTTAGTGACACTCTTCAAGTTTCGAAAGTACTTACATTTTGTTTAATATTTTTGTAATATTGGAACAGGGTGGAATTGACGGAAGAAGAAAGCCAAGAAATGATAGAAAAAGCGTTGTCTTTGTAGCTTGACATTTCAGGTGCATCGCCACACACCTTCCCCTCCAGTGTGTATACTTTTTAAATAGGATGTGAAAGTATAACATTGGCATTGAAAGCAGTGTGTAATTACAGAAATTAGAGTAGTTAGGATTTTTTGTCTTTTGAGCAAATGAATCTATATTTAGACTCTTAAAAAGACGTGGAATATAGGACACCTGAAGAAAATGACTCGCAGAAATAACAGGACTTGTAATGTTGGCTTTGCTGTTTTCATGACCAGCAAATATTTTCTTGAGTGTCCGAGTTTCTAAAAACACATGAAAACAGGTCAAGTAATTCTCTTTTTAAAGAGAAAACCAGGAAAGTGAAAGCCATACTAGAAATAGATTTTGGATGTGTTTTAGCCTTGTGTATCTTAAACTGGAGCATTTTGTTAAGCCTGCTCTTTGATTTAGAATTTATGTTTGAAATGGGCCAATATTAGTTGTGGGCAAAATGAAAATAATAGTAAACATTTGAAGGTTTTTGTTATTTACTGGTTGTTAAAAACTTGGTAGATTATAATAACCAAGGAAACTATCTTTCCAGATAGCTGGTCATTATTGGAAGGAAGAAAAAGGAAATGGCGTTTTTTCTTTTAGGAGACAAGTATTAACTGGTAAGGTATTTTGTTTCAGTTTCCACCAATTTGAATGGTCAGAAGAATAGGAAAGATTTTTTTAAAGGATCCAGAAATTATTTTTTGACTGAGTATAAAAGAAAAAGGTTGTATTCCATGTTTGTTTGTTTGTTTGTTTTGCAAATACTAATGTATTTAGAGAATATTATTTTATGTATTAGCACTTGACTAGCATGAAATGCCTTGACACACTGTCAGGTGGATATTTGAATTTTTTTTTTCCAGTGTCAGTAACAGAGGGTGCTGACCCTTCTTTCCATTCCCCCTGCTTGGTACCTGGTTGTGTCTAAGGAACCTGCATGTGTGAAACAACAGGCTGGATTAGGAATAATCTTTGTGGGTATGAAAACCATTTTATTAACATTCTACTGCAGCCACCTGTGCTTATTTATGGACTATTGAGTGTGGCTTATTACCTTTTGGATTAATTAAAATAAAACCCGTTAAATGCCTGTTAATTATTTAGAATTACAAAAAAAAAAAGATTAGGGTGAAATAACTAAAACAATGGAGTTATGACTTGACCAAGGTCACACATATAATTAGCAACAGTGCCTTTCTCATTTACAAAATGGCTGCAGGCTACGAAGCTTCTGTTTGATAAGATTAAAAGAACATATTTGTTCACATTCATATTTCATGTTTTGTTTAAATTAAAATGCAAAGCTCACATTTGGTTGGGGAGGAATATAAAAATTGAATGCTTGACTGTGAAGATTGTGAAGGTCATAGGTTGCCATACAGAGATGTTTTAAGGGAAGTGCTTAACAATAAGGGAAATGATTCTTTAAAATAGTGTAGAGTCAAGTATTAGCCCCCATTTGGTTGAAATGAGTTTTGACTGAAGACTTTTGTTTCCCAGTATGACCTGTGCTTTCTGTAAGCTCAGTTTTAGCAGGCCGATGAGAGGGAAAGCTAAAAATGGAAACATTAGGGCATTTAGTTACCTCTCTCAATTTGAGACTCTTAAATATGAAGATGTAGCTGCTAAATTTCCACACTATTCCTTCTTTTACTGGTTTTTGCTTTTCCTTGCTTTTTTTTAAATTTGTATACCAAAAGTTGGGAGGTTTGAAGTATTTTTTTCTGTCACTGTTAGCTTTTATATAGAACATTTCCTGTTTTGTGTATTTTGCATAAAAAGGAGTAAAAATATTTTATTAAACATTAGCTCTTAGTAATTGGAAAAATACAGGAAGTCTTCAAATCTTTGGTTAAAATACCAAATACAGTTAATGTGCTTATCTTTTTCTTTGATTAGTTATTTAAAAAGACAGTCATTTATTTGAATCTATTATGTGGGGAAATTTTTTTGACTTTGTGACTGACTTGAGAAAATGGAATTGTAATCCTAAAATATTTTCAGAGAAGATAACTGCGTATGCAAATAAGGAGTGTGAATTTGTTGAGTGGTCACAAATTATAAATAGTATGGTATTACTTCATTTTCAGTTATACTTATTTACTATCTGGTTGAGTGGGTAAATAATTTAAATTCACTGACAATCCTAAATTCTTACATATTTTTAAATTTAGTGTGTCACCTTTTTTTTTCCAGAATTGTTAAGAGATGGGAATATGTAACGTAGTTTCAAATCTTTTCTTTCTTTATGTTTCCTTCCTAATAATTCTTTTCTGTATAAATTTTCACCTAGAGAAAGAACCTTAACCCATTAACTAATTGGTATTTGCATATTAGAATACTTTGGTAAATTTTACTGTAGTAATTCATAAATTATATTGAGTTTGGCATATAATTTACAAATCATTCATTGCAGTGAGATTTATGTATGTTTGAATTATTTATGTTTGCCAAATTAATTCTGGCGTATAGTTAGAATTACACTATTCGATCTTACATGTTTAACTGAAAGTAAAATCCTCCCCCGCCCCTCATTTAAAAGAAGTCTTTGGTTTCAAATGTAGAAGTTTTCTGAGGACTACTACACATGACTATTCTGAATATTACATGCTGTGCCCTATGTTGTGCCCATTAGGCATTATAATTCTGAGGTTATAGTGGATGGATCAGTTTGGCAGAATTATTGTCACTGAAACCAGTCAATTTTGATTACAACAAACTATGCAATTTTCTTTTTTATCTGTACCAGCAGAGGTGTGGGTAAACTAATATGGGGTTATTTTCTTTATTCAACGATTCTGGTAGTAAATTACCAGTTTTGTATTTTTAAAAATTGTTAAAAAGCAAAACATTCTAAATCGGCATTGCCTAGTTATGGTACCCACTAGCCCCATGGAGCTGTTGAGCACTAGATACGGTTAGTTTGAGTTGTGCTAGAATTTTAAAATATGCACCAAATTACAAAGAATATACACACACATAACAATGTACAAAACACATGAATAACTTCTTTATATTGAATACATGTGGAAATGGTAATGTTTTAAATATATTGAGTTAAATAAAATATATTATTTTTTTTTTTATTTTTTTTTTTATTTTTTTTTTTAAATTTTTTTTTTCAACGTTTATTTATTTTTGGGACAGAGAGAGACAGAGCATGAATGGGGGAGGGGCAGAGAGAGAGGGAGACACAGAATCGGAAACAGGCTCCAGGCTCTGGGCCATCAGCTCAGAGCCTGACGCGGGGCTCCAACTCACGGACCGCAAAATCGTGACCTGGCTGAAGTCGGACGCTTAATCAACTGCGCCACCCAGGCGCCCCTAAAATATATTATTTAAATGAATTTTACCTGTTTCCTTTTTCTGTCCTTAATGTAGCTAATAGAAAATTTGTAATCACACAAATGTGGCTTGCATCATATTGTTATCTAACAGCATTATTTAATGCTATTCTAGACCTTTTCTCTGAGATATAGTACACTGAAGAAAAGATTTTTTTTAAAGGTACCCTTGGGAATGAATTGCAGCTCCCCAGCATTGATAGCTTTGTGATTTGGGATTAATCCTTACGGGCTTGGGTTTCCTCATGTATAAAATGTGTATAGTCCTATCTCACAGTTGTTTTGAGGATATCTAGAGCTTCATGAACTTTAGTATGCATATGAGCCACCTGGAGATCTGATTCTGTAGGTATGGAATGGGGCTCCAGATTTTTCATTTTAAGGGACTCCCAGGTAAATGCTAGTATAGTTGGTTGGGAACACAGTTTGCATAGCTAGGATCTAGAATACTACATAGATTTTAGTTTATTTTCCTTCTCCCAAGCATTATTATCCATTTAGAGTCCACCTGGAAAATTATCCATGGGATATAGGAATTGGAAAAGTCACTGTAGCTTGCAAGATTTACTTAAACCGGTTTTATTCTTGGGTTTTTATCTGCATTCTGGAGATTCATTGACAGTGAACAAAGCCTAGGTAAACGGTGTGCTTGGCAAGAGATATAAAGATGATTCTAATCTTAAATTTGTAAATGTAACTTCCCTGTGTTATGTTTTAAGTTCATGAAAGAAATGATTAGAACTTGGGTATCTTTATATTTTTTGTGGCTGGATGCCTTGTTCACAGAATTGAAATGTTGTGTTACATGAATTAATTTAGTTTTTCAATATTTTATTTCTCTCAGTGGTTATTTTAGGAAGTTTTTCCTTCATCCAAGAAATAATCACTTCAAGTCAACAAAAACTGATTGGCAGATTACTAGCCATTCAGAGATAGAAAACAGTCTTTATCATTAGGGGGCTCATGGTTTAATAGAACAGTCGAAAGCAAACAAATAATTTCAGTGTATATATGATAAGTTTGGTAATAGAAGAATGTACAAAATATCGTGGAGGGAACCATTTTGGGGACGTAGTCAGAAAAAATGGTAGTAGCATTCATAAGCTATAAAAGAGATAGATTATACCAGAGGAGGAAGTAAGTACACAACTACAAAGGGAGGTTTAGAGAAATACGAATAATTTGGTGTAACTATATTATTAATCTGTGAGAGTGGTGGTGAGAGAGAAGACTAGAGAGAGATTGAGGTTTCAGGTCATTAAAGCCTTTGAATGCTGTTCTTAGGAGCTTTGCCTTTATGGTATAGGCTGGAGAGCTAGTATAGGGTTTTGTGTATGGGAGGCCCATTTTGCCTTTTTAGTATATCATTCAGAGGCTTAGTGAATACATTTGAGGGGTTTTACTGAAGCAAAATAATCAGGCTGAACAGTCGTTCAAGTAAGAGATGATATAGGTCTAAACCAGGGCACTAGCAATGGCAAGAGAGTAGAGGATTCCGAAGGTGTTTGGGATAGAAGTTGACAGAATTTGGTGCAGTTAGTTGAATAGAGGATGAGGAAAAGAATTTTCTGTTTTTCTTCCTCCCGTCAGCATTTGTTGGTTAAAGCATGGAAGCTGAGATGTCACTTTAAGATTCATTCAGAAAAGGGGTTTGTAGAGAATGTGCAGATGAGAGATGTGAGAGAGCCAAGGATTCTGTTAATAAGTTAAAATGGTGGAGCTCCAGAATGGGCAGGAAAGGAATTGAGACTGGCACCTGGATAAAGAAAAGGAGGCTGGCAAGAAACTGGAGGTCCTTGTGAAATTAAAGAACAGGTGTGGGAATGAGAGCATAAGTTAGCTGGGAACACGTGAGTTTGTGATCCAAGAGTGAGATTAAGATTTTAGAGAGGCAGCAGTTTAGGTGGCATGCAGTTCCAAATGTTACACATCATACTTGGTTGCTGGAGGGACAAGGAGGTGAAGTTCATTGAATGTAAGATTTTAGGATTTGAAAACAGAACAGTGTTTCTCACTGTTCTACCTGTATTCGAGGGACTACCTGCATCACTGTCACTTGACATGGGATTCTTGGGCTTAAACCCATGTCTACTGGCAAAGAGGATGATGAACAGTGAAAATTAAGTCAGTGCCTTAAAGGTTAAGGAGAACTGCTGTTAGGGGATTGTATAGTCAGTGGTAGAGACTTCAAAGAGATAATGTTTTCATTAAGAGTGATGATGTTAGAATGTTACAATGTTTCTTCCTGTCCTGTGTGTGCAAATGGGCAGTTTCTGTTTTTAGTAGCCTGCAAGAGAGACATGGAGTCTCCTGTGGTGCCATGAAAGTTGTAGGCACCTAGAAAGTAAAGTGAAAGGGTTGGGGGGTAGGAGTGGTGATCAGGACAATGGAATCCATTTAATGTAAAGACTCAGTTTCCAAAGTCTGTAAAACAAAAAGTCAGGTAATTTAGGAACTCTTTTTTAACAGTTGAAAATCCTCTGGTTCTGAAAAGATTATTGTTTGTTCTGTTAAACATTTGGTGGGACAAGCTGGCTTGTATTTAAAGGCTATGTATTAAAAATATTTGTCTTCAAACACTTAAACTCCTCTGTACTATGAAAGGCACATGGAACTGAAATAATTCAATTCTTTATTGTGAGGTTTACCTAACTCTTTCGTCATCATATATACTTGATTCTGAGTTCTGTGTAGTATGATGTGCCTCCTGCACTGGGTATTGTGAAGTGGAATGAGCACTTACTAAATGAGAAGAAAGAGGATTAATAGCTGAGATGATGTTTTGTTTGTTTCTTCTGGATTCCCTGCATAAGTTTGGCTTAATGTTTGTAAAGTTGGATATACGTAGAAGCAGCAGGAGGTCCTGGTTAATGTGATGGCCTAGTCTCTTCACACATGACTTCCTTGGAAAAAGGCAATGGCTATGGAATAAATTCCATATGGACTTTTTTGTCCATATAGAACTTGTCTGCCTTTAAAAATTTTTTCATTGTGGTAAAATATAAATAATGTATACAAGTCAGTACACTTTTAAGTGTACAAGTCAGTGCCATTAATTACATTTACAGTGTTGTACAACCATGACCACTGTATATTTCCACAACTTTGTCATCATTTCAAACAAATTCTGTATCTACTAAGCAATAACTCTCCCATTTGTAGCCCCTGGTAACTTCTCTACTTTCTGTGTCTGACTAATTTCAATATTTCATGTTAGTGGAATCACAGCATTTGTCCTTTTGTGTCTGGCTTATTTCACTTAACATAATATTTTCAAGGCTTATCCATATTATAGTATGTATGAGAACTTCATTTCTTTCTGTAGTTGAATAATATTCCATTGTATTTTTACCACATTTTGTTTATCCATTCTGTTGTTGGGCACTTGGGTTGTTTCCAGCTTTTGACTTTTGTGAATAATTCTGCAGTGAACGTTGGTGTACAAGTATGTGTTTCAGTCCCTGTTTTCAGTTATTTGGGGTATATACCTGGGAGTGGAATTGCTGAATTATATGGTAATTCTGTTATATGGGTAAAACTTTTTTGAGGAACCAGCAAACTTCACAGTGGCTCCACTATTTCCCATTCCCATCAACAGTGTACAAGGGTTCCAGTTTCTTCATATTCTCACCAATGTTTATTATTTCCTTTTTTTTAAATTTGTAGCCATCCTCATGCATGTGAAGTGGCAATACTTGTGGTTTTGATTTACATTTCCCTAATAACTAATGCTGAGCATCTTTTCATGTATTTATTGGCCATTTCGATATCTTCTTTGATGAAATGTCTGTTCAAGTCTTTTGTCCATTAAAAATATTTTTTTCTTTGTTGAGTTGTAGGCATTTTTTTTATATATTGTGGATATTAAACCCTTATCAGTATATGATTTGTAAAGATTCTCTCCCATTCTGTAGGTTGAATTTTAACTTGCTTGACAATGTCCTTGTATGCCCCAAAGTTTTAATTTCGATGAAGTCCACAATTTATCGTTCATTTATGTATCTATTTTTTTTATTGCTCATGCTTTTGGTGTCATTCATATCTAGGAATCCATTATCAAACCCCAGGTCATAGATATATATCACTCTATTTTCTTCTAAGGGTTGTATGGTTTCACCTCATATATTTAGATTGTTGGTCCATTTTGAGTCAGTTTGTGTATATGGTGTGAAGTAGGGGTCCAACTTCCTGCTTTTGCATGTGGTAAATCACTTGTCCTAGCATGTGTTAAAGAGACCGTTCTTTCCCCCTTGAATGGACTTGGCACCTCTTTAAAAATCAGTTAGGCATAGGTGTGCCTGGGTGGCTCAGTCAGTTAAGGGTCTGACTTCAGCTCAGGTCATGATCTCACAGTCTGAGTTTGAGCCCCACATCAGGCTCTGTGCTGACAGCTCAGAGCCTGGAGCCTGCTTCAGATTCTGTGTCTCCCTCTCTCTCTGCACCTCCCCTGTTCACATTCTTATCTCTCTGTCTCCGTCTCTCTCAAAAATAAACATTAAAAAAAATTTTTTTTTTAAAAATCAATTAGCCATAGAAGTATGAATTTGTTCTGGACTGTCTCTTCTTTTTTTTTTTTTAAATTTTTTTTAACGTTTATTTATTTTTGACACAGAGAGACAGAGCGTGAATGGGGGAGGGTCAGAGAGAGGGAGACACAGAATCTGAAACAGGCTCCAGGCTCTGAGCTGTCAGCACAGAGCCCGACGCGGGGCTCGAACTCACGGAGTGTGAGATCGTGACCTGAGCTGAAGTCGGCCGCTTAACCGACTGAGCCACCCAGGCGCCCCTGGACTGTCTCTTCTATTGGTATATTTGCCTTGTTCTTATGCCAATACCACATGGACTTTGTTACTGTTAGCTTTGTAGTAAGTTTTGAAGTTGGCATGTGTGAGTTCTCCAACTTTGTTCTTTTTTAAGATTGTTTTGGGTTATTTTAGGCCTCTCACAATTTCATATAAATTTGCGGATTGGCTTTTCCATTTCTGCAAAAAAGGCTGTTCGAATTGCCATAAGAATTATGTTGAATCTGGGCACCTGGGTGGCTCAGTCAGTTAAGTGTCCAACTTTGGCTCAGGTCATGATCTCACAGTCTGTGAGTTCAAGCCCCACGTCGGGCTCTGTGCTAACAGCTCAGAAGAGCCTGGAGCTTGCTTTCGATTCTGTGTCTCCCTCTCTGCACCTCCCCTGCTGGCTTGCACACACGTCCCCCCCCCCCCCCCCCCCCAAACTAAATATTTTTTAAAAATTTAAAAAAAAAGAATTATCTTGAATCTGTAGATCAGTTTGGGCAGTATTGTCATCTTCAATCTTCCAATCTGTTATAGTTGTCTTTCCATTTATTTAGCTCTCCTTTAATTTCTTTCTGCAGTGTTTTGTAGTTTTCAGTGTACAAATCTTTCCCCTCCTTGGTTAAGTTGATGCCTAGGCATTTTACTCTTTTAGATGCTTATAAATGGAAGTCTTGAGCATTCTGTAAAATGCTTTTTTGATTTCCTTTTTGGATTGTTGACTGCTAGATACAGAAACACAGCTGACTTGTATATTGAAGTTGTAACCTGCAGCTTTGCTAAATTTTTTATTAACTCTAGTAGTTTTCTTGAGGATTCTTTGGAATTTTCTATATAGGAAATACAAATAGTTTTACTATCTCTGCAAATAGAAATAGTTTTACTTCTTCCTTACCAATTTGTTTGCCTTGCATATCTTTTTCTGGTCTTAATTGCTCTGTCTAGCACTTCGAATGCTGTGTTGAATAGAAGTGGTAAAAGCAGGCATCCTTGTCTTGAAATTTTTTCATTTTTAAGATACGATTTGCCGCTGAATTTTGTTAAATGAAAGGATCATATGTAAGTGACTAATTTTATTGATCTTAATCTTTATAGAAGTTGATGAAATAATTTCTTTTGCAGCACAGAATGAACCCACAGTGGAAGAGAAAATACTGCAAACTGTTTGACTGCTGGTGAAGATGGTCTTTTATTTTTGTGACAGACAACTGTGGGATCTGTAATAGAAATGTAAGTGTGGCATCGTGGTTTTTCCCAAGGATGCAGTAAATTAAATGGACTAATAAAATGCACTAAGCCAAGTATATGTCATATTTAGTTCTAATTATAAAAAAAAAGAGCATTTTGTATTGACTTTTAGATATTTTATTGAGGTAACAATTTTCTTCTCATTAAATTATTGCTAATGTAGATATCCAGAAATCTCATCAGGAAAAATTTCTGTAAAAGTGAATGAAACTGAAGACAAAAGAATTTGCTTATAGAATGCTAAAAAATTTGGAAAGATCTCCAGGTCTTTTAGGTTCTACTTCTTCTTTACATAGTACAGTATAAAACCTTGGTTTGCGAGCATAATTTGTTCTGGAAACGTGTTTGTAATCCAAAGCACTTGTATATCAAAGCGAATTTCCCCATAAGAAATAATGGAAACTCAAGATGATTGGTTCCACAAGCCAAAAATATTCATATAAAAATGATCACAATACTGTAATATAATACAAAATAATAAAATATAAAATATAAAGAAAAATAAATTAACCTGCACTTACCTTTGAAAACTTCCATGTCTGGTGTGAGAGAGACAAGAGAGAGGAGGGTTATTGTGTAGGATGACTTTCACTGTTACTGATGGAATCACTGCTATCTATTGGCTCAGTGGAATCTTTTTTACAGTACAGTATTAATACACTCTTGTCATATACTGTGTTTAATGTAACTGGCAATAAGGCAGCAGAGGAAAGGGTCTATATCTGCAGGCAGCCTGACCTAGAATGAGGCAAAGCATTCCTAAGCTTACTCTTGTATGGAAAAGCAAAAGGACTGTCCATAGATGCTTTGAAGTGACAAAAAATACACTAGTGCTAGTTGTGGGCACCTTCTAATGTTTTGAAAAATCACTTACTTCTGCCAAACACCACAGCCTGGGACCAAGCATGGGAGATGATCACCCACAATCCTGCAGTGAGAGAGAACTATTGGCTCAAGACATTGTTCATTTATAAAGATTTATTAGAAATGTTTGCTTGTCTTTTATATCTTTTTATATTTTTTATTTAATCCTGTTTATATGTTATCTGTCTATATACATATAATATTGTTTAATCTTGTAGGTCAAATATTGTAGGTGCTGGCCATCAAGCAACTAGAGTATGGTCTAATAAGTGAGACATAATTTTATAATTATTAATTATAATTTATAATTATTAATTAAACAGTGAGAAAAATGCCATATTGAGGTAACAATAAAATGCTTTTGGAACTTAGAGGATTTAGTCCACCTGAAGGGCTCAGAGTAAGCAAAAGAACTTTTGGCTTGGTCTTAAAGAATAAGTAGAATTTTAACAAGCTGAGAAAATTAGGAAGTATTTTTCAAGCCAAGGGAATGAGGGAGGAGCACAGTTGCCCAAATATCAGGGCATCTTAGGAGAGTCAGGAAGCAATCCTGTGTGGCAAAGTGGGGTGGGGGGGGGGGGGGGGGGGGGGGAGAAAGAGACTTCAAAGTTAGTAAAGGGAGTGAATGTTTATTTAGTCCCTACTATTTTGCTAGGCGCTTATTGGGTATTTTACTTGGATTATTAGATTTAATCATTATGAAAAATGGTAGTAGCTCATTTACTGGTGAAGACGTAGAATTAGAGAGATGAAGTCATTTGCCATGGCTTGGCATTTTCCAAATTTCTCTGAGAATTATCTCCTGGAGCACTTGTTAAACACACAGATTTTTAGGCTTTAACTCAAATCTGTACAAACTCACCAGCTAATTCTTACTTTCACGGAAGAGTTTGAGATATGCTCTTCTAGGTTAGTGTAGTGAGAAGAAATGACGGAGCCAGGATTTTAACTAAGTCTGTTTTACTCTAAAGATTATGTCAGTGTATTTGAAAGCCAGTGCTTAGGAATTTGGATTCGATTATGTAGGCAGTAGAAAACTATTGAAGATTGGAAAGAAAACTAATTTGACATGGTTGAACTGAGAAAAGATAAGGAGAAAGGATTGAAGTCTGAGAGACCACTTGAAAGGTTAATATTTTGTACAAGCGTGTGTCCAAGAGGCCAGAATTAGGGTTATATATAGGCTTTGGGAATGAAGGGGACACTTTTTTTTTTTTTTTTTTTTTTTTTTTTTTAAATATACAGTGCAATGTTGTTTTCAGGAATAGATTCATCCCTTACATACAGCGCCCAGTGCTCATCACCACAAGGGCCCTCCTTAATACCCATCACCCATCTAGTCCATCTCCACCTGCCTCCCTCAGTTTGTTCTCTATCGTTGAGTCTCTTGTGGTTTGTGTCCATCTCTTCTCTCCCCCCACTTTTCCATATGTTCATCTGTTTTGTTTACTTAAATTCCACACAGGAGTGAAATCATATGGTACGTCTTTCTCCGATTGACTTACATCACTTAGCATAATACATTCTAGCTCCAACCATGTCATTGCAAATGGCAAGATGTCATTCTTTTTGATGGCTGGGTAATACTCCATTGTATGTATATGTACACCACATCTTTATCTTTTCATCAGTTGATGGACATTTGGGCTTTCAGTAGTTTGGCTATGGTTGATAATGCTGCTGTAAGCACTGTGGTGCATGTATTCCTTCAAATCTGTATTTTTGTATACTTTGTGTAAACACCTAGTACAATTGCTGGATTGTAGGGCAGTTCTATTTTTAGTTTTTTGAGAAACCTCCATACTGTTCCCCAGAGTAGTTGCACCAGTTTGCATTTGAAGGGGACACATTCTAAATAAGTTTCTGTCATGGAGAAGTGAAGTGGCCAAGGAATAAGGGAGCATTGAGGATGGATCTAAGTTTTGTCCAAGATCGAAAACAAAGGACAAGGACGCAGGTTTAGGTGAACAGATAACTTTGGTTTTAGTCATGTTTGATATCAGGTCCTTGGAGAATATTGAGGTAGATTTTTTGAATACAGATTGGAAATATAGTTGGAATGGTTCTGGATATTAGATTTTGAGAATCATGGTGGTATATCTATAATTTTGAAATCTTAAGTAGATTGTCTAGACATAGAATGCAATGGGGAAATGGGGCCACCCATAGAACCTTTGTGAAGAATACTGCTACTTAAGGGCAGCTGGAGAAGATAGAAAACAATGAAACAGAAAGGAGAATTGGGAGAGAGTACCATCAAGGAAATGAATAGTATAAAGTTTTAGAAAAATAGTTGCTGGTCATTATCGTTCAGTGCGATGGAATCAAATACATTGAGAGCAAAAGAGACCATTAGACTAAAAGCATGGTAGTTGATTTTGAAATTTAAGGATAGAGAATATTAACCAAAATCTTGAGGGAATTGGGATGGTATTAACAGAAGTTGAGGAGTCAACTTTGAAAACAACTAACTATACCCCAACCTGAGCCAAGAGGAATGATGACAAGGTAAAGTGAAGATAAAGATAAACTGTAAGGATTCACTCTTACCTAATTTCTTAATGATAAAGGAATCTGGGACATTTTTTAAGAGATTGGAGAAAGTTGTCTACAGTCTTTGGGAATAGGGGAAATAAAGTTGTTTTGACTGAGTAAAAAATTATTGATAGGAGGCTTGATAGTCTCTGGGAAATCAAAATAGCTAATTGTGTGTGGTGCTCACAACTTTTGCACCATACATTTCACTATAAAGGTAGAAATATGCCATGAGTTTAATAGTTAACTTTTTTTTTTAAGTCCTCTCCTTGGTTGACCCTTGTTTTAGGCAAGTGTCTCCCTTGTGGCTTTTGTCGTGGTGGTGGTCTCTTTATTCCCCATCTCTCTCTGACATTTCTTAACATCTTTTGCAGGCTCTTTTGCCTCACTTGTAAATACTGAAATACTCCAAGGTTCTGTGGTTGGCGCTTCTGTCTGCTCTCCCTACAAGTTTAATTTGGGTGTTCGTTCATTTTCATGTCTTCAAGAATATATACTTTTTTTTTTTCTAAGTAGTGATGAGTATTAGCCCATTTCTCCATTTTGTCTTATGAATAGAATCAAAATGGATGGATGACTTTCTTTTTTGTTGGGTTTTTGGGTTTTGGGTGGGGGGTTGTTTTGTTTTTGTTTGTTTTGAGAGAAAGCCTGTGTGTGCATGAGCAGGAGATGAGCAGAAGGAGAGAGAATCTTACGGAACCCAAGCCTGACACTGGACTTGCTCCCATGAACCATGAGTTCATAACCTGAGCCAAAATCAAGAGTCAGACGCTCAACTGACTGAGCCACCCAGACACCCCTGTTTTCTTTTTCTTAATGAGGCTTTAAATAAATATGGAAATATAAAAAAAAAATTTCAAGAATTTCATTGACAACTAGGGCGCCTGGGTGGCTCAGTCAGTTAAGTGTCTGACTTTGGCTCAGTTCACGATCTCACAGTTCGTGAGTTCGAGCCCCATATCGGGCTCTGTGCTGACAGCTGAGAGCCTGGAGCCTGCTTTGGATTCTGTGTCCCCCTCTCTCTCCGCCCCTCCATCACTCATACACTCTCTCTCTCTCCCTCTCTCCCCCCT